GGAAAAGCGCGATGTGTGGGGTGGGGGCGGGGGAGATCTGGAGGAGAGGAACGGCGTCGGAGGAGGGGCGGCACGGCGGCCGGTGGGTGGGTGGGCGAAGACGGCGGGGCGGGCACAGAGGATTTCGGCGGCGCGGGGAATGGGGGGAAACAGAGTGAGCTTGTGGATTTGGGGGGATTTCAGCCGGCGCGGGGAGAGGATTTCAGCTTCACGCGTGATTTTTGCTAAGTCCCGCGCCTTCGTGAAAATGTAAGCCGAGTGTCAAGTAGTGTTACACGGTTTACATTCTTATTTCATTACAACTATTTTCTTTATTTTACTTTTTTTTTCTTTCATATTTTTTTGGTATTTTCTTTTTTTAACCGGTTGGACCGGTCGGCTTTTCTAAAAGCCGGTCAAACCGGTCGATCTCCGTTTTGTCCGCAGACAAACCCTATCGGGCACCACCACTCCCCTCCACTACCACACTTATCTGGCCATGCCGCAGCGACGCCGCCCCTCCCTCGCCGCGATCTACATTTCTCTCTTGTGTTCTTTCGACCCTCCCTCACACGGTTTTCAGATATGAGCCAATCCGTAGGGCTCGCGCGATCTACGCCTTTGACCGGAGTCGATAAGGGTTTCACCGGGGTGAACTCCTCTTGGTTTGTGTTATGGTAGGCCATGGTGACATGTCGGAATAATTTTGAGCACACAACTTCACAAGATTCCCTGCCGGCGGTGCCAAGTGCGGCATCCGCACTGTAGGTGCATAACCTTCCCACAGGACTATCGTGTTTGTGTGGCAACTGTCGCACCAAAGCTGTGTATTGCATATTTAAACATCACACCGTCCTTTAATACATATAGTTGGACCACATGGAGATGGGTGTGCTCTTCCAACCCTCACTCGCATGGTTTTCGGAGATGAGCCGATACGCAAGGCCTGTGCGATCTACACCTTTGACCGGACTCGAGAGGGGTTTGACCGGGGTGAACTCCTCATGGTTTGTGTTATGGTAGACCATGGTGACATGCTGGGACAAGTATGAGCACATGCCTTCACAAGATTCCCTCCCGCCGGCGCTAAGAGAGACACCAAGACTGTAGGTGCATATCCTTCCCACAAGATTATCGTGTTTGTGTGGAAAATGCCGCACAAAAGTTTAGTACTGGATGTTTAAGCATCACACCACCCTTTCATGCATATATCTGGACCACATGCAGGTGGGTGTGCTCTTTCGACCTTCCCTCGCATGGTTTTTGGAGATGAGTTGATCCACAATGCCTGCACGATCTACAACTTTGATCGGACTCGAGAGGGGTTTGAAAGGGGTGAACTCTACTTGGGTTGTGCTACGGTAGGTCATGTTGACATGCCAGACCAAGTTTGTGCACATACCTTCTCAAGATTCCCCACGGGCGATATTAACTGCAGCACCTCTGTTGGTGCAGACCCTTTTAGTGAAATGTCGTGTTTGTGAGGCAAGTGTCGCATCAAAGTGCTGTATTGGGTATTTAGACATCACACCACCCTTTTATAAATATATTTGGGCCACATGCTAGTGGGTGTGCTCTTCTGACCCTTCCTCACATGGCTTTCGGAGATGAGTCGATTCATAAGGCCTGCGCGATCTACGCCTTTGACCGGGGTCAAGAGGGGTTTGACCGGGGTGAACTCCTCTTGATTTGTGTTACGGTAGACCATGGTGACATGCCAGAATAATTTTGAGCGCACGACTTCACAAGATTCCCTCCCGACGGTGCCAAGTGTGGCATCAACATTGTAGGTGGATAACCTTCATGTGGGGTTGTCGTGTTTTGTGTGGCAAGTGTTGTAAGAAAGTTGTGTATTGGATATTTAAACATCAAACCATCCTTTAATACATATATTTGAACCACGTGCAGGGGGGGTGTTGTTCCAACCCTCCCTCGCACGGTTTCCGGAGATGAACCGATCTGCAAGGCTTGCACGGTCTACGCCTTTGACTGGATTTGAGAGGGGTTTGACTGGGGTGAACTCCTCGTGGTTTGTGTTATGAGAGACCATGGTAACACTCTAGGTGCATATCCTTCCTACAATATTGTCGTGTTTGTGTGGCAAATGCCACACCAAAGTTGAGTGTTGGATGTTTAAGCATCACACCACCATTTCATGCATATATTTGGACCACCTACAGGTGGGTGTGCTCTTACGACCTTCCCTCGCATGGTTTTCAGAGATGAGTCAATCCACAAGGCCCGCGCGATCTACGCCTTTGACCGGACTCGAGAGGGTTTTGACCGGGGTGAACTCTACTTGGTTTGCGTTATGGTAGGTCATGGTGATATGCCACACCAAATTTGTGCACATACCTTCTCCAGATTCCTCACCGCTAGTACTAAGTGGAACACCTCTATAGGTGCAGAACCTTTATGTGGTACTGTCTTGTTTGTGAGGCAAGTTTCACATCAAAGTGTTGTATTGCGTATGTATACATCACACCACACTTTCATACATATATTTGGGACGCATGCTGGTGGGTGTGCTCTTCTGATGCTGCCTCGCACGGTTTTCGGAGATGAACCGATCTACAAGGCCTGCGTGATCTACGCCTTTGACTGGACTCGAGAGGGTTTTGCCCTGGGTGAACTCCTTGTGGTTTATGTTACGGTAGACCATGGTAACATGCCGAAATAATATTCAAGGGTAAATGGATAGAGATGAGAAAATTGAGGGCATGGAAAATAAGGGTTATTAAAACTGTCGGGACAGAATGGGTGCGAAAGAGAAGAAAGGAATAATATTTAAATGGTAAATATATATGCAATCAAAAGCATTTTAAAACTTATGTTCTTGCAAAAAATTTGCAAAGGATAAGCCGAGTCTGTGCAGGAAGCACTCGGCTTATAAGACATGTAAGCCGTGTGCTTGAAGAAAGCACTCGGCTTATAAGGCGTATAAGCCGAGAGTCATGCCGGGGCGCACGGTTTATAGGCTCCTCCGTGACGACGCCGTCAACGACCTTCATTGTAGACACGTGGCAAATATGTTTGCCGAGTGTGCGCTATAAGTCGAGTGCTTTTTTGTATAAATACCGTGTGCATTATTTAAGCCGAGGGCTTTTCTGGGCACTCGGCTTATAAGACACTATAAGCCGAGTGCTTTTTGTTTGCCGGGTGTTGTTTATTCGGCACTCGGTTTAGAGGGAACGTAAGCCGAGTACCCGATAAATAGCTCACCGCTTATAGGCTAACACACGGGAAAACGGGATTTTCCTGTAGTGCACAGGCTTTGGATCACAGAGATTCTTATCACCCATCGTCTTGATCTCCCTCTCTGTTGGGAAGTACACTTCTGCCACTCCATTTTCATTTGTCACCTTCAAATCCTTTGTATAATGGCTAATTGCTTGCCTCTTGGTGCACTCGTGCTTCTCCGCCAATGTCAAGAAGCAGGAGAACCTCAAGTGATAACTCACAACAATCTTGACCATCTTGAAATTCCGACAGCAGCAGAAGAAATCTAGCCACCTTCTCCCCACACCAGCATACCATTTGATGATATCTGCATCATCCAGACAGATAAGTAGCTTTATCGGCCGTGGCCGTCCCATGGAATTTGTGAACCCGGCCAACTTTACCGCCTTTCTTACAAGCTCTATTGGTGCATTGACCCTCATTTTCAACTCTGTCAAGTCCTCAACAATCCTCTTCTCGTACTGTCTCTCGTCCTCCTCCTCTGCTAGCATCTCCTCATCCTCAGTCATGGCACGGCCCCTCCTCGGCATCAAGAACCTGTCGAGTGTTTCCTGTAATTGATCATAGGAGTCCACCAATGCTGGTGGCAACAGATCCCTAACCCTATTCAGTGAAAAGAAGTCACCGGATGTGAACAATCAGTGCCAATAACGGCGATGCTCCTGTGACTTGAAGTATTCGACCACTGTCTCCTCTGCCCAACCCTTGAACTCCTGGCACACTTCATCCTCAATTGGAAACCAAACTCGAACTCATGCCCACGCCTCACCTTCTTGAACAAGTGGTTCAGTATCTTCAACCCAAGCTTCTTCCTCCGCGTCTACCGGGCATTCTTCAGCTCATGTGCCTCTGCTGCCTTCCTCTTCAGATACATCTTCCTTGCCCTCTTGGCCTTCTCGGACATGGGAGGGTGTAAGACTGACGGCGGCACAGCTTGGAACTCCATCCCCAGGAATTCCATCTTCTCTGACACTGCACTGTGGACTGAGCTACCAAACCTGTCAACCTTCACCTCCAAGTCCCTCTCCAGCACGGTGAGGATCCTATCTCTGACCTCAAGTGTGAGCATCTTCGACCCGGACGTCACAACCATCGTCTTGTCGAGATACCGGACCGCATACACTCTCACAGGCGTATGCCGAACGCTCTCATCCTTGACTCTAGGGTTCTTCTTGTGCACCTCCTCCCGGATGACCATCACCTCTCTATCCACAGGATCAAAGAATATGTTGAGCACCGTGCTGGTGAGCTCGGACTCTTGAGGGAGCCCGCGGCAGAGGTCGGAGCCGCCGAGCTTGAAGGCTATCGCATCGGAAAGGAAGAGCTCGCGCAGATAGCCCAGGAACTCCGGGTCGTCGACCTTGCCGGAGATGGCGTCGAGAAGGCGACGGACGTGGCGGGGGCCGAAGGGCTGGCGCGGGACGGCGATGCGGAAGAACCAGGTGGCGTTGGGGATGGAGCGGAGGTAGCGGACGGCGGCGTGGCGGGCGCGGTAGGCGAAGGTGGCGGCGCGCGGGGCGAAGACG